CGGGGAGCGGCAGGCGAGGGGGAGGGAGGGGAAACGGGGAAAAGCGACAGAATGATGGCAGTGATTAAAAAAAGCACCAGGAAAACCCAAGAGACAGCGTTTGTTAAACACAGGCTGCAGAAAAGCAAGAGGACGAGGCTGAGGTTTGGGCAGGGAGGATGAGACCTGCCCTGCACTGATGCCCAGCTCGGATGCAGCGGGCTCCGTCCAGCCCGGGTACATCACCCACAGCCCCAGGACAGGCACCCTGCATGGCGCAGCCCCTGACCACGAGCTTCCCCACAGCCCCAGCAAGGGGCTCACACGGAGCCACACACACCCACTGTGCTGGCCCACGGCCCCGAGCACGGCTCTGCCCTGTGGGAGCCCCGCACCGTCCCCAGAAACCCGGGTCGACCCGTATCCCTCCTGCCCTGGGCACGGTGGCCCCGGGCACGTCCCCAGGAGCTGGCAGGGCGCGGGAGCTTCTCACTGCTCTGTCCTCGTCCCCGCAGGCTCCTGCACGGGACGGGGCAGGAAAGGACAATAAATAGAGAACAACAGGACGGCGGGAGGTGGCTTCCCCTTCCCCGCAGACAGCAGGGCTTCCTCCCACCACCTGCATCTTCTTGCCCATCGAAGACGGAGTCAACTGGTTTATCCTGACCATGAAGGAGACGAGGCTACAGGAAAAATGCAGATCCGTGGGAACAGCACCGCAAGGATGCAAGAACTTGGCAGGACGACCTCCACAAACACTTTACAGAAAAGCCTTAATAGCCTCAGTCACCACTGCAAGACCCATGAGACACATCCAGACCCATCCCCGAGCCCTGCAGACGTGTAAACATCCATCCTCACTCCAGACACACCAGCAGCTTGTGACTTTTGCTCGTCCCAGCTAAAACAGCGATGCCTCCCGCAATGGTGTCAGTGGGGCTGGGGAAAGTGGGGACCCCCCAGGCCATCTCCTTCCACCCAGAGAGCTGGGCTCTTGCCGCTGGCCCGGTGCCCATCCCCAGCCTCGCAGCAGCCCCGGACAGTATTTTAGCTTCTCCCAGCCCCAGCGCATCTTGTGGCAGGTAGCTTGGGCTCCCCAGCTGGAGATGCTGCCCCAGTCACTTTTACTGGGGTGGCTCCAAAGGGGACAGGAGGCTGGTTGGGCTCCTTTCCCACGGGACTGGAGAAAACATCTGCTTGAGAAATGCCCAGCTTTTGACTTATGGCTTTATTCCAGCTTGGGCTGCAAGGCTGCAAGCTGGGAATTCAGCAAAAACAAACTATTCCAAAAATGTCTCAGCGGGGGAAAAAAAATAATCATCATCATCATCATCAAAACAAAGCATTTCAACAATTCCCTGCACAATCATAGCCAAAATGCTCCACCACATCCCTGCTGGCTGCCGGCTGGCTGGGAGGAGACCTCCTCCCACTGCAAATGGTACCATGAGAGCCTTTCTGCACTGGGGTGGAGGGACTGGGCCCGTCTGGGGGGCCGAGGCTGACCGCAGACGGCCGGGGCTTTGCTGGGACGCAGGAGCAGGGAGGTGAGCGACGTGGAGGCTTCTCCTCTCGCCCTGTGCAACCCCAGCCCCGTGACAGCGGCC